TTGCAAGCAATCCAGCAGGAAAAATAGCATCGTCTGCAGCGGGCTTAAGGCCCGTTCCCACAGTGGCTAGTTAGCTTAACCAGTTGTTAAGTAGTGATACCAACCACTGACACAAAATTCGGTAAGATATTTACAAGGTTAGATTTTGACAAGTCGCATTTTCGCAAATAAGTTTAAAAAACATATACATATATATTGATATATTTGTGATTGATAAATTGATGTATATATACAACATATAGTGTATATATATTACATATATATAACCTTGTAAATAGCTTACCGAATTTTGTGTCAGTGGTTGGTATCACTACTTAACAACTGGTTAAGCTAACTAGCCACTGTGGGAACGGGCCTAACTTACTGCACTAGTTCACCAGTGCAGGAACAGAAAACAAGCCCTGTGGCCGATCTTCCAACGACCTCGCCGCGGTGATTTTAGGAACGCACGCACTTGGCACAATCACCTGTCCGTACGGAAGTGACAGCACGACCGGTGTAGTTGCGTACCAATTGTTTTGCTACGTGTCATGTACACAAATCTGACTTGCATCAAGAACTGACTTCGCGTGGCTCTGTCGTTCCCTGCTCTTTCCTTGCGTTCGGTCGCCTCGCGTGTCCTCAAGGTAGAGACATTACGACGGTTTTGGATTTTCATAATTTTGTTTTGGAAAACTAGCGAGTCGACGGGACATATTGAAACATATGTGTAAACGAGTATGATCGGCATACACTGCGGTTGTCTCTTTGTATCAGGTTTACCCGGTCACGTTCCCGTTGGAATACAAGAATCGTTGTAACATTTCTTCGAAATTTAACTTTCATCCCTTTCAGCCAATCGACGCTAGTTTAAAGATTAAGGTGCAATCCGTGCGTACACAGCATGCCTTCCTACTAACGCACGTTGCGTATCTTTGAAAAAAGAAAAAGAACCGAGCAATTATAAATACAATCACGTTGATTTGCAGCTGTAAAGATATGCGGCAGTTGAAGGGAAAGACGAAAGAGACGAATAAACAGAAGAAGGAGCGGAAAAAGGAGTTCCTCGAGAATAAGCAGAGGGTGTTCACGGTCGTGTTGCCCACCATAGCTGCGGTATTTGTGATAATAGCGGCGTACGTCTATGCTAAAACCCGTCCGAAGCTCGTCGAATACTAATCGCCGCCCCGCTTGTCGTCCGTTCAGACTTCGAGGCGTCGGCTGATCCTTGGAAAATGCAGAGACAATTTCTCCCCGCGTTCTCGCGGACACGGGAAAATCTATCTAAAAGGAGGCACATTCCACTGCTCTCCCCGAGGGACACCTCGTCACCTAAGTCGCGTTGTAAACGAGATGCCGGTTTTTTGCGAACCTCTGCATCTTTTAATCTGACAAGAGGAAATATTTTTTAAGCCGGGATTTATGTAATATATTAAGACATGTAATCGCATCGGATTTAAGGCGAAAGAGGGGCAAGCGTTTTTTACCAATTACAGTATGAGAAAAGTTTGTTAATTTATATCGCATCTCCACGACAAACGGACGACGTATAGCGTATAAGTTTACCGTAATTTACGTGTCTTCCTTGGTGAATTCTTATTCGCGCGCATTTTCTTAGTGCATCAGGTTTATACGGATCTAGAGTTTCGTTCACGTAATACTTCGATTAGTTTTTTGCGTATTAAACATGTAGAGAAGAAGCGTTCGCATATCTGTGAAGTATAATTTTAATAACTGAATCAAATTGGAAGTGGGTTAGAGAGAGAGATGTTGGCGTGCAAAGCGCTGAAATAATGAACATGGGTCCAATGTATGCGGTATAAAAATATATTTGTTATATATAAACGGCGCGTTTTTTTATTTTCTTCCTCGACACGATTGTTCAATCGCGTTCGAGTTGAGCAGACGTGATGTAACAAAGAAGCTAACTAAATATCAAGTAACACGTGTGAATTGTAATATCACCAGTAGATAATTAATAGCCAATTTTCGACTGGCATCAATTTGTTGTCAAGAGTTACAAGGGGCCTTGTGACTCTTGACAATAAATTGATGCCAGTCGTGTCGACAATTGTCTATTGATACATTTCAAATGTTTCATAAATCGAATCAAGGGGCGCAATTTTTTGTGTGTATTAAATATAGAGAAGAAGCGCTCACACATCTGTGAAATATAATTTTAATAACTGAACCAAATTGGACGAAATACGTTACAAATATTTTGCAAACTTTATAATATTTCTACAGGGTTACTGAAACATTGTCGGCGAAATATTACAATTGAATGTCTCTGAATCGTCTCTGCAATATTACATTGCAATTTGCAATGTTGAAATGTTTCTGAAAGCTTATGGTGCTGTATGGATCGCTGTCTGCAGCAAATATAGAAAAATACGAGGTACCGGGGAAAACAATTCTCGTTAGAATTAGGGAAGATCGTTGAAAGATTATCGCGAGAGATTCATTCGCGACAATCATCTATTTCTCGCGTTGCTCCCCCTCTGTTAAAAACAACACGCCACATCCAGCTCCCGATAAACAAAGCAGAACAGCCTGCTGGAACGGTCGTCGCTCTCGTATCGGGATAATATGCAGACACGTGGACGGCGACCAATGGGGAGCCAACACGTACTAGCACGCCCCTATGTCTTGTCACCGCCGGTAACAGGTTCTCGTACGATTTTCCCGTCCGTCACCGCCAGCAGCGTCGATCGGCGATGGATTACGCGACGTTTTTCTCGAGCCTCGCGATATTCCTGCTTCACGCAAGCTTCGTCCAAGGTACTCCTCGCAATTTCTCACGTGGAAACGCGATTAAGCGTCAAGCCGCTTGGTTATGTCGCTCTTCCACCCGTCGTATAAATACGACGGTCCCCGGTACTTTTTGCCCGCAAATCGATTGTATCCGCGCTCAACCGAGCCTTTTCAATCTCGTATAACCGTCTCGACATGCGATTGATGTTACCTCGGTGTCTCCGGCTCGAGTGGAGCACCGTAGCGCGTTTGATGGCACGACTTGAGTAGATTTAAAAATCTTGCCCGTTTAAAGCTGCGACGTGGAAAATCTGCGTATTTATTAACCGAACCGTAAGATTCCAGGTGCACGTCTTATAGATATCGATCTGCTTAATACGATCATTGAAGCTCGCAAACAACGTATGCCTAGGAGACGCCTTAAAGATGTCTTTTAGACGTGCGTGCCCTAGTGACACAGTGCATTGAACAAACACTGGTGAAGGCCTGTGTCCACGATGCTAAGAACTTGGATCAAGTTCTAGCATCGTGGACACAGGGCCTTTAAAGGCCAATGTCCACGATGCTAGAACTTGGATCAAGTTCTAGCTTAGGGGACACAGGGCCTTAAAGCCCAATGTCCACAATGCTAGAACTTGATCCAAGTTCTAGTTTCGAGAAATGTTTAGCCAATCAACTCGCAGCTATTCCATAAAAGCTACAAGTTCATTGGCTACATGTTTTTCAGAACTAGAACTTGGAT